TTCGTCACAGAAGACAGGTGCGCAATTCAGCGGACAATTAGGAGAAAAACACCCAGCCCTCGCTGAAAGATTCGACGGTGGCTGTGTGATTGGCGAATAACTATGGGCGTCTCGCTGCCTTTCAACTTGGAAGGACCACGGGATTGGTTATGAGCTTGGTGGGAAACACACCCTGCCGTCTCTGGTTTCCGCGCCAAATGGAAGAAATGGAACAAGAGCAGCAATTTCAAGAGCCCAAGCTGGCCCAAAACGCAACACCTAGGGGAAGCCTCACCAAAGTGGGTGAGAAAGGGGGCCCAGCTGGGGGACCTAGATGGGACCCCCTAGCTGGGACCTAAAAGACTGACCGAAAGGAAGCCGCGTCCCGTGCAAGCCCAGAGCTCAGCCCACGCGAAGTTTCACAGGGGGAAACTCACGCGCCTTTGGCGTGGGCTTGATCCGACGGCTTCTCTGGGGCGATCTGTGGCTGAGATTCCGTGATTTTTTTCCGAAGAGAAGTGGGGGGGGGGGGGAGAAGGGGGGGGAAACAGAACAGCTGCGCTTTTTGGCTTTTCAGGGCTGCTGTGGGGAATTCACGGGTTGTTTGGTGTTCCAAGAGGTGAGCCACCGTGATTGGAGGGGTTGCCGCAAAGACCCGATCAGCACAAGTGCGGAAAATGACCTGGGAAAGAAAGCAAGAGGCAACACCCACACACACACACACCATTTTCTGCCTTGTTGTGTGGTCAAGCTATAAATTTGTTGGAGCAGCCCTCTTTTTTTTGTTGTTCAAGAGGAGGGACAACCAGACATTAAACCTAGGAACACGCCATTCCTCTTCGTGTAGTCGTTCGGAGCGGTCCTCCTTCTTTTAGCTCTTTGGCGGGCAAAGGTTTGTTGAACAAACGTTGGATGCTCTCTTTTAGGTCCTCCAGTAGAGAGGTTACATTAAGGGTACCGTTTCTTTTTTCTGTTGTCAATTTTAGTAGGGGAACCCTCCCCCACAAAAGTTACATGGGGAGAATGATACAGCATCAGCTTCCACCCTAGGAGCCCGTTTGGGGGTGTTCCTGGGGTAGCTTCCCTTCTACCCCCTGCTAGCAGGGTTCAAGTCCTGAAACCAATTCAATCCAATGGAAGACTAGGTCCTCCAGATTTGAGAGGTTAGAATAAGTTGGTACCAACTTTGTTCTGTAGTCTATTTTACTAGGGGAACCCTCCCAACCAAAAAAGGGGTGAGAAAGGGCACCTAGCTGGGGAACTAGAAGATGATCTGATTCTATCCGGGCATGGAGGCAATACACAAATGCCTTTTGCCTTTGTCTGTTGGCCATTCCATTGACCCTGGCCGTTGAGAATGCTAGGGGCAACCCATATCATGCTCGAAACCAAGTTGAAAACAAAGAGTTGTAAGTTTGAACAGCTCAACCAGTCCAGCTCACTCGGAAACCGTTTCCTTTAAACATGAAAACCAGCCAACATCTGGGCTCATTGCTATATGGGCATGTGTCCAATAGATTGGGGGGCCCTAATTTGGTAGCAACTGCAGAGGCCTAAAACGAAATACGAACACACACACACATGCACACTTCGACACACGCCATTTGGCCCGAGCTCATTTCAACCGGTGAGCTCGCCATGCAAACATATGATGCATGTAGCACCTAACGACCCTGGTGGCAAAGCAATATCAAATCAAACTCATTTCCAGGTGTCTCACTTCCTGCGTGGATTGGCCAGAAAAAGTTCAAACTCTTTGTTTACCACTAAACTAGTCTTCCCAAAAAGTGACTAAAGTCCAGGAACTCGGGGAGTGAGGTGTAGGTTGTAGGGGGTAATCACCGCCCTGCACACTGACATTGGTGGCAAAGTCTTGATGCCTCCAAACCGTTACGGGCTTGTTTCGTTGGGCAACGATCTAAGTGCTTCCCTGTTGGTTCCCCTTTTAAGCAACCGAAAAGAAACCCTGAAATGAAGATAGACCCACCAAGAACGCCGAAATCCATGTTGGGGTTCCAATCCTCGTTGGAGACACACCACACCTTTTGCTGTTGGCCTTGGAGTAAACATTGGGGGCACACCCGCGCCCTGGATATGGAAGATCCCCAAAGGTTGGCCAAGTTGGTTGAACCACCAAAACGCGCTAGGCCCAAACTGCGCAGAGATTCGTGGCCAAAACGGGATGCAACTGACTTGGAACAGTGTTTTTTTCTCATGACGACCGATTCCTCCAGCTTGGTTTCTTTTTGGATTCTCGTCCAAGAAGAAGACCCCCGATTTTGCCTCAAACACCCAAGTCGCACTTCCCGAAGGGGCAGGGTAGCTGGTTGATGTCTGAATTCAGGCCGCTTGGGAAGGGAGTGCCGTACGAAAGGAACGACATTTCGGGTTGCGTGCTTACAGCCACGGGCATCATCATATCTTTGCAAACCTTAGAATCTTTTCAAACATCGATCTTTTCACAAACCAGCTGCTTGCCCTTTGGAGTTTAAGGGTCCCTGGAAAGAATGGGGAAGCTTCCCCTAGAAGTATCAGTCTTCATCCGCCCTTTCTTCAAGCACTGAAGGTGACAGGGCTTTGTCTTCAGCTTGGCTTTTGCGGAACCTTGACCACATCCCGCGGATTTGTTTTCTTTCTTCAAATGCTTCAAGGTTCCAAGCCGGGAAAAGCGTCAAAGTCTTAGAGGAACCTCCTTTTGGGAAACGGACCGTGCGGAAACCATGGAAAACCACTGGGAAAACCACGTGGGGAACATTGGAAAGCGGGGACAACATTGGAACTCATGTGGAAGCACATGGGGAGAACGTCGGAAGCCATTGAGAAAACAAGAAAAAAACATTGGAAGCCATGGGGAGAAGCACTAAAACTATAAATGGAAACAAATGGGGTGGGACATTGGAAGCCAAGCAATACATATTGGAAACGGACAAAACAGGGACACATATAAGAGAAAGCAGGCCTGTGATATCGGCGGTGTGAGCCGGAGGGGTTAAAGTTCCTACCTGACTTTGTCTCAACATGAAGGGACCCAACAAACTTTTGGTGTCCTTTCAAGACCAACTTGACCAACCAAAGGGGGCGCCCAACAAAACTTACCTACCCACCTCTTGCTGCTCCCTTCTCCCACTTGCCAAGCTTGATCTTTTTCCTCTCCAAGGTTCTGTGAGACTCGGTCAAAGGCTGTTTGGACCCATCGTTCTGACCTTGGGCGAGCAACTCGCCAGAAATACCATGAAAAGGAAGAACCTGTTCTCACTTCCCGAGTGGATGGTCCAAATCCTAGGTCCTCAAGTAGAGAGGTTAGAATAAGTTGGTACCGTTTCTTTTTTCTGTAGTCTATTTTAGTAGGGGAACCCTCCCCCAAAAAAGTTGGCAAAAGGACACTACTGGGGGACCTAGAAAAGTATACACCGATTGGGTCAGAGCCTGTCAGATCTCCGATCCAGGCTGATATTTGTAACCACAACTCCCAAAAAACACCTAGGGTTCTAACACCTCCTCTTTCTTGTTGTTGTTTGTTCTTCTTTCTTTCCGGAGAAATTCCGCTAGGAAGTGAGTGTTTGAAAGCGACGCCACAAAGAATCCACCCAATTTTCATGGTCCACGCCCTACTGCCTTCGACGAAAGCGAATTCTTCGCGGCTTCCCAAAAAGGGCCAGATCTATTTTTTGCCCACGCCAAGGTCACTCGTACCATGTCATTAGTTACTCTTTCTCGGAAATTCGGAGCCAAACATCCTCGTAGATGGTGGGTGTCTGCCTCTCTTTGGGTTTCCCTTTGATACCAAACACAGGTCCTCCAGTAGAGAGGTTAGAATAAGTTGGTACCAACTTTTTTCTGCAGTTTATTTTAGCAGGGGAAGCCCTCCCAACCAAACAAGTTGCACCTAGCTGGGGAATCTAGCAGACATGAGGCCCCAGTGGCATCAGATCTGGCGCCTCTCTCGGCATTGCGAGTCATGTCTCGCGCTTTTTGCACCGCGCCCCACATTGGAGGAACGAGCAAACGGGCGAGGACTTGGATAAAACGAGGCCGGCGCAGAAAGACACTTTTCCAGTGGCCGCTTCTTAATTATTTTTTCGACCTGGGTTCCAAGCTTTTCTGGTGGTCTATTGTTTCCAAGCTTTCTAGGAGGTCAATGAGAACGGAAAACACAAAAACCGCCACCCTACCCTCACTTCGTGGTTCGTTTGGTGCTTTGGAGGTCGGTTCCTTCCCCATTTGGCTTCGAAAGGTTCTGGGGTCCAACCCCCATGCCACAAATCCAGTTTCGGTGAAAAAACGGCTCGGCCTCCGCCTTTCCTCCCGAATCCCGATCAGCTCTGGGCGGTAGAACTATGGCACTACCATCCCTACCAACCTATGAGCCATCATGAGAAAATGAGTGTCCCCTGGTGTTTTGTGGCTGAAATGCGGTCAGTCCCATGTCAAAGACTCTTCCATTCTTTACCGAACCTTCTACCCTAAGCTGTGTTGCAACCTGAGCAACGGGTCGATCACCTTTTGGTTCAATGGGAAGAGCCATTTGGCTGTGTGTCACAACCAATGGTACCATTTGGGGTAGGTGAATTCACCACCCATTTTAGTCTATTATAGTGGGGATTGAATCGGATCACCCATTTTAGTCGGGATTATAGCGGGGATTGGGATGTTCACTGGGGGTACGGCTTTTGGCTTTTGACCCATGGCCATTTCTTTTCGGTCCGCGGGTTGCGATTCCATCACACCCGGTGGACCATGGCGGGTACTGGGCACAGGTGACCGCAAATGGCAAAACAAATCCTAGGTCCTCCAGTAGACAGACTAGAATAAGGGTACCAACTCCTTTCTGCAGTCTATTTTTTAGTAGGGGAACCCTCCCCCGAAAAGGGGGTGAGAAAGGGCACACCTAGCTGGGGGACCTAGAATCGATGGGTTTCCCTGGCAGATCAATAAGACCCATCCAAGCCAGTGGAACCCATCATTTTCATTTTCCGAACCGATCAACAGGGACACCTCTGCCAGGCCGGTCACACATTCGCTCACACCGGCGGCACCACGGGTACCGCCGGCGGTGGGGGAGGCAGAATTCTCAGCATTCCCGGCTGCGGTGTGGGGTCCGCTGTGTGGTTCAAGGCCGCCTCGACTCGTGTCAGGATTGGACCCCCCCCCAAAATGTGGTGGTTTCTTCCTTCAGCCCCCTGGAAAAAATGAAAATGGTTCTAGTAGTGATAGATTCCCCACCAACAGGGGAAAATGAATAAATGTCCTTAAGCAAATGGAAGACCCTCGCAAAAAACGAAGAAAAAGACAACATCCCAAAACCCGTTGCTTTACAGGGGATGCAAACAAAAAGAAAACGCATCCCAAAACCAGCTGCTTTTTCCGGGGATCCTCCATGTCAGCAGGGTGATGTTTTGACGGCCCATTGTCATTCGGGGCCCAAGGCCCGCAAGCTCCGATTTCCTGCGCACAATGAAGCCATGGATCCCTAGCTACTCGCTGGAACAAACGTTTTTTCTGCTCACCAAAACTTACCCTCCTCCAGGCGATTCCATAGCTCCAAGGAACCTTTGGAGTACCTGATTGCATTAAAGGCCTCCTAAAAGCTTCCATGTTGGTCTGAGGGAGTGTACATTGGTCAGAAAAGCAATTCGACCAAGGAAACGAAAAGCCGGTCGGGTCAAAAGAATGATGCGGTTATTTATACCGCTTCCTGTGGGTTGAAGGGTGTATGTTTGTTCGTCATTTGTTGCTCCCTTGCTAAAGTCGTACTTGTGATATTGGTGTTTGCACATCTATTTGCGTGTTTGTTGGTGTTGCTTCTCTTCGTGTGTCCGTGTGCGCGTGTGTATTTGTGATTATTTGTGATTCTTTGCGTCTTTGCGTCTTTGCGTGAAAGGTGGTAGGGACCATAGCCCTGGATTTGATCTGATTCCCCTGGGCCACGGAGCTTGTCTGCCACTCCCAATTGACATGGAGACTGACACAAATTCCTTGTCACTTTAAAAGGAACATGGTCTTCCACCCCCAGAAACGTCAGGTTCCTTCTCTTAATTGGTGGGAGGGTAGAACTGCTTCCCAAAAATGGATCCCTGGAAAGAAGGATCTTTGGAAAGAATGGGGAAGGTACCGGTCGGAAAAAGAAAAAAACGCTTTCCCAAAAAGTGGCAAAACCGCCCCGAAGAAAAACAACAACACACAAAAAAAGAAAAACAACAAAACAACGCAGCAAGCCAGATCGATCCTTCCCAGCCCGGTCCTTCAAAGCCTCTTTGGCCTTCTCCACGGTGGCAGAGCAACAACTCAGGAAGATGCCTCAGGAAAGAACCCACTCGCGCTAAACACTAAAAGGCTAAACGGCCAAAAGGCTAAAAGGCTAAAATGCAAAGGGGATGGCTGGGAGCCACCAAGTTTAAGGGATCCCTACATTCATTCCCAAAATCCTCTGATGAGAAACCAGCAACCTGGCTCTTAATAGGAAAGGGGACCCCTGAGCCCCAAAGGAAGGAGTAAGGATTGCCTTCGAACAGCCAGACGAACAGAGCCGCAGTGGGCCACACAAACAAAAAGGAAAGCTCGATTGGTTTCGGCGAGCCCTGCTAAAAGTGACTAACTTTTAGTGGTTTAATACGGAAAACCATTAGTTGGCAAAAAGTTAAAGTCCTAACATCCAAGCAAAATGCACCAAAGAAAAGGCATCTTTGTGGGGCGGTTGAGTTTCGTCATTCCAGCTCGACCCTTTTTGAGACTTGCCTTTCGAATGGCCCCCTCCCAAAAAAATGAAAAGAAGTGATGGTTAAGAAGGGTTCCAGAAGCCTCAGACATCAAGATGAACAGCTCAAACATTGCAGAATTCGGGTTCCACCCTTTCAGGGTGAACAAACCACGAAACTTGCCAGTGATTGAACTTCTCTGATCGATCTCAGAGGCTCCAGGGCACCAGAAAACAACCAGACCGTCCTTTTGGGCAAAAAGACATCCGATGGGTCCCACCGGCACTCGGTTGCTTTCTGCTCCCCTGCTAAAAGTTTAACTTTTACTGTAGTGGTTAATGGAAAACCCAGTTGGCAAAAGGTTAAAGTCCAAGCACCCCTTGGCAAAATGAACCAACGGGCCAAAACCATAGGACCCAAGTGACACTGGAATCCATCGATGTTTTGACGCCCAAAGGATTCTGACCCAGTCAGCCGCACAGGTCCGACTAGGCCGACGCCTGTGACCCGATTTGCACAGGGTTCCTTCCCGGCAGTTCAGAATCCGAGGTCGAAACAGTGGCTCCAAGGGGTGCTGCTCTCCCCTTGAAACATTACAAAGGCATACTCGTGTTGACATAACAAGTGGTGATTTTACTCATGCTACCGGTCCCTATGCAGATATGAGTTGTTCAATTGGAAAACTGAGGACGTCTCGCGGAAACCTTTGAGCCATGGCTGGAACAGGACCATCTAGGCTCGTCTTTTTGGGAGTTGGTAGTCCGTTTGAAAGGGAAGCCAAAAGAAAACCGTGGGGTGAGGCACACTTTACCCTTTGACGCCATGGTGTACCTAGGTTTGAAACCGTGAAGACATGAAAGAAGAATCCTCCAATTGTTTTTCGTTTGAGATGAGCGGACACGTGTCTTGCTTCTGCATGCACACTAGGTCCTTCAGTAGATAGGTTAGAATAAGGGTAACCTTTTTTTGTAGTCTACTTTAGTACGGGAACCCTCCCAACCAAAAAAGAAACGGTGAGAAAGGGCACTACTGGGGGCTAGACCATTCTGTACCCTATCCACGTGGAACCTCACCGGGGGTCCCGCAAGGCCATTTTCCTTCAGAACGCTCGCTCTCTCGGTGGGCTCTATGGCCCAATTTTGCCTCTGACTTCCCCATGAGCCACCAAGCTCAGCATCCAACCCAGGCAGAATCCAAGGGCGTCCACTAAAGCTGCCCCTTAAACTGCCACTGTTGGAGGGATCCCTTGAACCACCCCTCCCAGAACATCCCCCCCATGAACCCCCCCCCCCATTTTTTTTGGGGGGGGGTCTATCATGATTATGAAGGCTTAGAGAGGCGTTGATTACTATAACCCCCAATTCTACCAAGCAGCACCTACTTCAATAGAGAGGAATCGGTTTCAGCAGCGCTCAGCTGGGAGGTTTCCCATCCTAGACGAAGGGCTTCAAGTCCAACAAAAACATGGGGAAACCTGTGGAAAAGGGTACCCAACATTGCCCCGTCATTCGGGTTGCAACTATTTTCAAGTTTTGAGCAACATCCCGAGCCGGAAGGCGACATCCCAAAGCAAGCGGCTGAAGATTTCGACCGCAACACGCCCGAGGATTCGACAGCGACGAAAGCGCCGAAAGAACTCGACGATCGAGGGAGTCGATTGCTGGGGATCCGGGCCGTTGTTGTTGGGGCAGCAAGTGCCCTTGGTCACGTTCAGCGCTTCGCAGGCCGGGTAGCTCTTGCACTTGGTGCCGTTCACCTCGAGAGTCCAACCAAGCCAGGCCGAGCTTCTTGTTTTTTCAAGCGGAATTGCTTGGTGGTTTGGCAGTCTGGGATCTACCTTCGGCCGAGCTTTTTCAAGCGGAATTGGTTGGTGGTGCAGTTTGGGAAGACCCATCTCGTACCTTCCAAAGTTCGCCCCTGATCGGATCCAAGAACCCGTCCTTCCGCAGGGAGCTGCCTCCGAAATGAGGAGCCCGGCACTGAAACGGGACACGAAGCGTTCAAAAATCCACCAGGTTGATAGATTCATCCAGGGTTCCACGAAATGGGCTCGACTCAAATCCCCCAGTCAAACCTGAAATCTGGCCCGATCCGAGCCAGCAATGTGCCATTTCAGCAATTCTGAAAGGAACACCCCCCCCCCCCCCCCCAAGTTTTTGGGGGTTGGGGGGGTCCGTTTGGATGAAAAAAGGGAACATGGGTTTTATCGCAAAAGTGGCGAGCCCCAAAAGCTTGAGGAAAGTGCAGGAAACCCCAGGGCAGAAGCTCAGAAAGGCCCGTTGAGTCTGGCAATGTCAAGTGGAGCCAGCTTGAGTGAACATGTTGAGGGGTTCTCACCGCTACTTTTAGGTCCCTCCAGATTTGAGAGGATAGAATAAGTTGGTACCGTTTCTTTCTTCTGTAGTCTATTTTAGTAGGGGAACCCTTCCAACCAAAAAAGTTGGTGAGAAAGGGCACCTAGCTGGGGGACCTAGGTGAACATGTTGAGGGGTTCTCAAAGCTGCTCTTCCTTGAAACCCATGAGGGATTGTTGAGGATGCCCGCATGGGGAATCCCATGCCGCGTCTGGGTCGCCGGGTTATGCAACAATGGGGGATGCAACCAGCCAGGCGTGTTGACTTGGTTTGCTTATTTTGTTTTACATATGTAAGGGGGCGGTATGGGTGTGCTTCCAGATAGGTGGTCCCCTCCCAGCATGGGCAGTTTTTCCATTGGATGTCCCAAAAAGCCAACCCCCACAACTCCATTTGCTGGAGTCCCCTGGAAAAACTCGCGAGATTCCAGTGATTTCCTATGCCGAAAAGTCAAGAAGCCAAACAAACAAAAAACAACACACACAAAAAGCAAAACAACATCTAACAAAAACACAACTACTCCATTTCCCCTAAAACCAACCTTCGAACCCTTCCAGGCAGTTCCGGGCTGTGACTTCGGCTTGTTTTGACACCTCTTTTTGGCTTAGGAGAACCAGAAGCAGAACCGGACTCCCATTTTTTTTGGGATATATTTTCTTGGGGGGGGGTCAGCCCTAGTGAGCCCCAAGAGTTGGTCTTTCTGAACCAACAGTTGGCTGTAAAAACATAAAAATCAGCCACTAGGTCCTCCAGATTTGAGAGGTTCGAATAAGTCGGTACCAACTTTTTTTCTGGACGTCTCTTTGAGTAGGGGCACCCTCTCAACCAAACAAGTTGGGTGAGAAAGGGCACCGTTCGCTGGGGGACCTAGTTGCCAACAGTTGCTATTTTTAGCATTTCAGCTGGAAGAAAAGTCGCTGAAACTGGGCTCCCCGGCGCCGGCCGTTTGGTTGCGGATCTGCTTGTTCAGCAGCTTGGGCCGCGCCTGGAAGCCCATCGAACGGAGACCCTCCCAATGGAGACGCTGACCACCGGAATTCCTCTCCCGGGGGAAGCCCTCGGAACCCACTGCCATGGATGTTGCCATAAGCTTCCACCCTGGAAAAGCAGGTCTTTGGCGGATTTTCCGGTTGAAACCAATAACATCAAGAAGGACCTTTCTTTTGCGGGTCCTTGGAAGACAAAGGTTGGAAAGAGGAATAGCCAGAGTTGATGCAAAAGGCTGGTATGGACGAACAGCGTGGCATCTCCATGGCAGGGAGCAACTCCTGGGGGAACTTCCCACAAAGCACTCATCTGCGTTTCTGATTGCCCCCCCGCGATCAGTCGTCGGCTTGCGCAAATGGCAACCGTCGAGCTTTTGTTTGATAGATGGGTGTGTCCTTTTGGGAGTTGGTGCTCCTTTTGTGTTGGTTTTAGGTTTTAAACTAAACAAGTCACACCCAAACCATCTAAGCGTTGCGATTGCCATCCCACTGTTTGTGGAGTTGACGTAACTCCAAACGATACCAACAGAAGCCTTGCTTTGAGGGAGAGGACGTCTTCTTTTCAACTCCATCATACGGCAACTCCAACTGTTATGTGTTCGGGCCTTCCGCGTCTCGCGCGCAAACTGCCAATCTTGCGTTTCCAGCTACAAAAAAGAAGGGTATGAAGCACACACCATCTAGGTCCTCCAGTAGAGTGGAAAGAGTAAGGGTACCCTTTTTTTCTGTAGTCTATTTTAGTAGGGGAACCCTCCCCCAAAACAGGGTAAAAGGGCACTACTGGGGGACCTAGCCATGGGCTCTTTGCAGCTATCCAACAGAATGCTGGACAGCCTGATGTCCATCTACAGTGACCATGACAACTTTGTCCCTTTCCTGAAGGGTGTCACAGAACCTGGCAATCTTGGCATGCCTCTGTTGGTCCCAAAGACGAACAACTTGTTGGGTGAGCGGCACGCACACCTTTTCAGCTAGGGCCGAACAACACGTGTGAAGAAACATTCGGGTACCAAGCATGCCTCAATCTAGGTGGACCCCCCCAGAAGAAAAGAAGGAACAACAAAAGACGCTTCCCTTGCGTCTCCTATTACATCCAAAAAGGGCACCACCTCCTTACGTCTGCATGGCTTGCCACGTTTTGAACATAAGGTTCAGCCCGATCTCGACAAACCATCCAGAAACCTAGGCTGGAATTAGGACCCCAGCAAATATATATATATGTATATATTTATTTGCCTGGCTAGTGGAAAACAAAGGGGACCCCTTTGAAAGCAAAAAAGGAAAACGAGGAGCTAATTCTGGGGAAGACACCTCCGTTCGCTCAGCCCAAAACGACGTGGAAGTCTCACTGGTTGCTCCTACTCGGAAGGAACCCGAAGGCACTCAAGAGAGTCCGATTGGAGTAGGAGCTTCGCAGATTTCTTTGTGGGCTTTCAGGGCTCCCTAAATTTCCCCTTAAAACCTCACCCCCAAGGGCTACTCACCTTTGGACCAAAAAGGTGATGTTTAAAACCACCAAAAAGGGACATATAGGGACCCCTGGCTTTTGCGGCTTCCTTCCGCGAACATCTTTGAAACCTTGAGACCAACCAGCAGGTTTCGACCAAAAAAACACCGGCGGTTCTGTGCGCCATCTGGCGGTTGGCGGTCCGAGCGGTCGAAGTGGAAGCTACAACTCCCTAAAGAACCTGAAAACCCGAAAAATCGGAAGAGGCTGAGACCCACTAGGTCCTCCAGAGAGGTGAATAAGTTGGTACCGTTTCTTTTTTCAGGACGTCTATTGTAGTGGGGGAACCCTCCCCCGAAAAAGTTGGCAAACATGGCACCTGCTGGGGGACCTAGACCAAGTTTTGTTCACCAACATGCATTGCCCCCCCCACCAGGATTCACCAGACATCGATCGAGGTTCGCGTCATTTCGTGGACATTTAGAGACCTCGAGGCCCTTCCCAAAGTTTCCCAAACGACACAGACCCTTCACGGACCCCCCGCTTGTTTGGAGGACACCAGGAGTGGCGAAAAACATAATGTTTTGGCGAGGGAATCTTAGGAATAGGTGGCTTCAATAGTATGAATTCAACCAAAACTATAGACTATGGACTTGTTGGGCACTGTTGCGGGAAAAGAACAAAAAACAACGAATATCCCCACCCGCCCCGACAAGCTGCTCCGAGCCAGCTCAAAGCATATTTGCCGGGGAAAAACCAAGTGTGTCTTTTGTAGGGGACCCACTGAACTCCCCCGACAAAACAAAAGAGAGAGGGGCACCCTCAACTAGGTCCTCCAGTAGAGAGGTTCGAATCAGGGTACCAACTTGTTTTTCTGTAGTCCGTTCTAGTAGGGGATCCCTCCCAACCAAAATAGAAACGGTGAGAAAGGGCACCGTTCGCTGGGGGACCTAGACCAAGTTTGTTCACCGAAATGCATTGCCCCCCCCCCCCCGCCCCAGGATTCACCAGCCATCCACAGTGGTTTGACAAACCTGGAGGACTTGGTCCCGTAAAACCCTTGGGAGGAAGCCCCTGCCTCTGGGAGCTCGGGGGTGACCTTCTGGTACACGCTGATGCTGTGCTCCGGCCTAATGCAAAAGAAACCGGCTCAAACCATATGGAAGGACAGGGATCCCCCATGAACCCCGTTTGATGTCGCCACCCTGTTGCCAAACGGATTCCAGGGAAAAGTGGCCTCTATCGTGGTACCCTAGATTCGGAATCGTGGTCTTCGCCTTCTGTTCTTCATCATTGTTTGTCTGGAGTTTTGTCGCTGTTCTTGAAATCTTGTAAGGTACCCCCCTGGGTACCAAACGAAAAGGGAACTTGAGGATTTCCTTTCAGAAGGGTGTCGCAACCCTGTTGGCCGTTTGTAGACAGGTGCGCCAAAACGACGGGCCTGCAGCCTGGCGTAACCAAGCAGATCCGACTGCAGCAAGTGGACGGTTTGCTAGTCGAAAGGGAACATGACGGGAACCCCAAAATGCAACAAGAACGTTAAGTCTTGCAATGATAGCAGGCCAAGGGAAGCTGATCATCCAACTTTTGTCTACTTACCGGTTTCATGCCTGAGCTGCGAGAACTCTGCGTGAGATGCTGGGGTTTCCCTCAGCTCCGGAGCTTTGAGTGAGTCGGATCACGAAAAGATCGGTCCCCTCAAACCTTCAAGCGGTTGATTCATGAGTTTTGATTGGGATCACAATGTCATGGGGTTAGCAAAGTCAGGAGCTGGCTGGGTGTTTCCTTGGTAAATTGTTGGGGCCAGTGCTTTCGTGCCTTCCCCCAAAACGGGCCCCGACAGGTTCCATACTCGAATTGTTCGGGCCCGGGATGGAAGCATCCAGTGGCCAAGGTGCTCGCCAGAAACAACGAAAACAGAAGACTCATAATCAAAACCCGGCATTAAAACCATGTAAAGAGCCATGTCTTGAACCATGAACCATTAAAGCCATGTAAAGAACAAGTGAGTCTACCCACCATGTAAAATAATGAAGAAGGCGGATATCCGCAGCTACTTATGGTTAAGATGTTCCCTTACTAACCTTCATCTACCCGGGTTTTGATTGTGGCTCATATGGGTAGTTCGCTGGTTAGGTTGCGCTGAGATTTCCCTGTGCTGTCATACAGGTTCTCAGGTTCTCCCCGGTTTTGGGACATGCCAATTTTCCGCTTCCCTATGAGGGGTGACTTCCCCTCCACTCCCTACAGGAACCAGGGGTTCCAATCCCGCACCAACCTTTGGGGCCATGGCGAAAAATGGACCAACAGGCGCACTCCAAAGCTGGGTACTCCAGTAAAGAGGTTAGAATAAGGGTACCGTTTCTTTCTTCTGTAGTCTATTCTAGTAGGGGATCCCTCCCAACCAAAAACAGTTTTTGGTTGGTGAGAAAGGGCAACCAAGCCAAGAAGTACGTGAAAGAATGTGGGTTTACCATGTTTCGGAGGTGGCCACTTAGGCAACAAAGCATATTCGCAACTAGACAGTACGCTTCGCGGTTTCCGCTGCGTATGTCGCTTTTTGTTGAGACCCTTTCTTGATGGTTTAAAGGGAAACTAAAAGGACAATCAGTTTTCTTTGGGGGGGGAGGCGAAAAAATAGACAGAGCCAGAAGGGAATGTGTCAAAATAGGGGGACCCAAACACTTTGCGGAGTCCTTGTTGTTTCCATTTACCACCCCCTCCAAAAAAAAGGCACCCTGACAAAACACAGCCTATGCAGTCACGACCATTTCTATTTGCAACCAGGTGAACATTAACAATGAAGTCCTGAAAAAAACAGCGAACATCGCCCAAACCGCCAAGATGAGACTTCGAATCCGCCTGAGACTTGGTTCAAAAAATCACTTTGTGGGGCCGTGGGGCCAGTCCCAAAGAACGTTTGTTGAAGGCCCTGGGTCCCAAAAAAGGCACTCAATAGAACCCATGGAAACATGTGGAAACCCTGCGGGTTCCCTGGTGTAATCTTGACCCATAAGTTACTAGAAACCAACCCCAAAAAAACTGATGACTTCAATGCTGAGTGGATGGCCCAAAAAAAGTTCAAACTTTATATTTACCACTAGAATCGTCTTCCCAAAAAGTTTAAAGTTCATGAACTCAGGAAGTGAGATGGCTTCATCTTGACCCATACGGCGCCCTCTAGGGACCTGAGGCCCCGGCTGCTCGCTCATGGTCTGGCAGTGCTGGGTGAGGCGGCACCAGTGCTCACCGCCTTCCAAAAATGGGCCCCAATGGTGGGCCCGATTTTTTCTCCGGTGCTTTGGCTAGGTCCTCCAGAACAAAGGTTCGAATAAGGGTACCAACTTTTTCTGTAGCATCCAGAAAAAACACATCCTGACAGCTCGCTCAAAATGCCCCCCACAAAAAACTCGGACAAAGCTTGGAAGATCGATTTCTTCCTGGAGAGTTTGCTTGGGAGATTTCGTAGATTCAAGGGTCGAGTGTCTCCGTAGCTTTCGTGGCTGATCCCTTGCTAGTGGCAGGAACGTCTTCCAATGTCCAACCACGAGGTTTGCTCATTTTGTCCAGATGCTCAGGGTAAGGAGCTCTAAATTTTCGACCAAGGAACGAGAACAAATGTTCCCATAAAACAAGCCATTTTCGCCGCTTATGTGATTTTCCACCAGGAAAAGGGACAAAGCATCCAAAAAGAAGGTCATTTGCCCTCCTTTCACATCCCATTTCAGAAAATCACGGCCAAGGCAACCACCGTTCGACACCTGGCTGGTCAAACATAGTGACCCCACACAGGCGCCCGAAACTCTCACCTGACATTCTTGGCCCGTCTCGCGGTCGGACCTCAACCAGACGGGATGCCGCAGCAATGGCTGGTATCCAGGGGTTGTGACCCTGACCCTGAGCAGTCAGCCCAGACTCTTCCAACTAGACGCCCCTTTGGAACACCTGAACATTTCCCGAAACAAACAAGTCATTCGTACTTTTTTTTCGCACAAGAACGACGTTCTACGTGAAACATGGATTGCATGCTACGTATCATGGAACATTCATAAGAACAACACTGCGTTTACCTCTGCACAAGTCGTGAGTGCCCTGGCAAGGTGGTCCAAGCTTCTTGTTTACCACTGAAACTGCCTTCCCAAAACATCACGTCCAGAAACCGAGGGTGGTTCCGGCATGCAGCACAAGGGGGTTGTCCAGAATGGAACAGCCCAGTCTCCCAGCTGAATTGGTTTGCCCCTTGGGATTTCCAGGCAAGTGCCTAACAGGCGCCGCTCATTTATGTGTCAAACATGGGACTCTGGACTTCCCAAAAGGAGGTCTTTTTGGTTAAAAGGCAGCCCCGACTCGCGGCGCCGCGGCGCCTGAATGCCAATAACTGTACCACGCGCAGTTCTCATTGTTGTTGCACCTCGCTCGCACTCCCACGCGCATGCAGGTGCGCGCCCCCGCCAGTTGAGGGCCACCTCCCAAGTCCCAGCCCACGTCTCACTTTGTGCGTGGAGCCAAAGAAAGTAACCAAACTTTCGCCACGGTACCCAAAAAGTATGAAGTCTAGCACCTCTTGTGCGTTGTCCGTCCCAAGCGCCATTTTCGGCCTTTCAATTCGGAGAGGTTTGAGGTTTCCAAGGGCAGATGGTGTGAACCGGCAACAGATCTGGTATAAGGCTGGCGAGAACAACCTAGCTTCAATAACGGCAGTGGTGACTGTACGAATTTGCGTGGGGGTTCATGTCCCAACGCAGAATCCAGGCTTCCGTCGGGTAGCTTCCAACCACACGCTCCCCCTACTTTACAAGTAGCCGGGGCATGCTTGCCCAAGACGAACTGAAAGGACAACCACAACTGCGCCCATACGCCGGAGTCGTGATACTGGTCATAGTTCTCGCGCAGCTGCTCCGTTCTATGTCAACGTCTTCAAGGCAACACGCATACATTGGTAGATGGTGTCTGCAGCTGGAACACCCTCTCGAAGTGCCCATGCACGCGCTGCGTGCTTTTCCATGCCATATGCTTCCACATTGGCTGCCATGCACAGCGTCAGACCGCGATGTGCTTTCAACTGTGAGCTCAGAAAGCCAGACGTTACAAGGTAACCAACACTGGCTATTTCAAACCTAACTGGAACGTCCCTAGTAATCCGCTTTAGTGGGAACTGGGGGGGACCGGTTCCTGAGTGGTTGGATTTCCGCACTCAAATCTCCGGGGTTGCCGAGGGGGAGCGAAGGGACCGGTTCTTGAACCCAAGGAAGGATTGCCCTCCCAGTGTTAGCTGTTGTCTACATATGAAAACTCCTGTTTTTTCCATAGAAAAAGACACACGACCTCCTGTTTCCAACAATCGGATCGTCAGGTTTGAATGCAGATCAACTAGTTTGAGGGGCTGAAACCCAGATAAGAGTGTTTGAGGTGGCCATGTTTGAGGGATGAAGGGGATACCCCCACCAACCAGGTTTGACCTTGACGCTTCTAAAACCTTGGGGCCCGATGAGTCAGACAAGGTCTCCAGGAACCGCCATCCGTTTTCGCCTCGGAGCCTGGTGCCTCCTGGTTCTTAGCCTAGTAGAAAATGTGTCAAAAGCCAAAAGTGCCGGTTCACCAATTCGCCACCCGGTGGGTCAAACATAGGATAACCCCAATTTAGGAACCCTGGAAAATGGAAACATGGACAACGTGCGGTCCATATCCTGGTTGAATTTGACCCAAACCCATCCGGGTTTGGTCAGCTTTTAACTCGGAGCAATGGCAAGGGTTGGTTCCATATCTGACCGCTTGAAATTTCGGGGGAAGCCCTGAATTATCTCACTTTCGGACTGGATTGGCCAAGTCCAGACTTTCTTTTTGGCCACAATAGAATTCCCAAGCAGAAAGTTCAGACATTTTGCTAGTGAGAGAAAAACCAAACCCTGGATACACCCTGTTGTATCCTGCTTCACATGTAGTCTACCCTAAAATATGCTTTGAAACAAATGGAGACCATGATACCCTGAAAAAAAAGCAGCAACCCGAGCACGGTGAGAAAGAACCTCTTTGGAGAGACAAACCACCCTGCCCCCTACAACCCGCCTGCGCCTGCACACGGCGTGGCCTCAAACTTCGCGCGACTATCATCCCATCTGGGTAGTAGAACTTCTCAAACAAGCCATTGGGGGGTTTGGGGAGCAGCTCAAACGGGTTCAATAATACTACACATGCTTGGCCTTTACGGCTTTTTCGAACCAAACTTGTCTCGCCTGCTGAGTGAAAAAGCAATTCGGGCTCTGAGTTGGCCCAACCCCCAACCCTTAGACCCTTAGGTGCGAATATAGGGCGATGTTGTAGGCTTCAATCCGGATTTCGGGGGGGGTCGAAAGCCCCCAAAACTGTTGCGCCCGTTTCTCGGATTTTTCCAGGGCACGGGAAGAAAGGGAGAGCTGGCGAAGCGCTCAGACAAGGCCGATGTGCGCATCGCAGGCGAATCCAGCTCTGCAGGGGGGAAGCCAAGGGGCACGGGGTGCAACGCGCGAACTTCAACTTGCTGCAGCAGTACGTCCGCTGCCGAACAATCCTTACCTAGGTCCTCCAGTAGAGAGCTTAGAATACGGGTACCCACTTTTTTCGGTAGTCTATTTCAGTAGGGGAACCCTCCCCGACAAAGTTGGTGAGAAAGGGCACCTAGCTGGAACACCTAGTGCAAAAAGCACCTCGTCCGCTCCGCTGCGAGAGTATGGAGGATCACTCTATCAGCAGGTCTTGGCCGATCTGCGCCCGGCAGAAGCTGTTTTCGAGTTGTTGAACATAAGGAAGCTCAAAGCCTTCAGCAGGCACGCCTGCAGATTTGAGAAGGGGGTGCTTCCCAGAAAGTCTCAAGCACCAATCACTTCCCAGGAGTGGACTGGCCCAAAAAAGGCCACACTGTCTAAACATACAGGGATCCTTACATTATACACCTGAACATTGCAACTTGTAAATGGTGCTGTCCAACTTTCTTTTGGTACGGAAAAAGCCAGCCATGTTTCAACTGGTGGCAAAATTTGGCCATCTTTTAAGGAGCCCTGATACACCGCTAAATAACTAAACAGGTCTTCCCACAAAGTTTCCGAAGCCCAGGAACCTCGGGAAGTAAGCCAAAAACTTCGGTTTTTCCCGGCACCTAGCTGTCACCTGGTGCCGAAATGCCGAGCTGCGATGCCTTGGGCCGAGAAACACCTTCCCATTGATTCCATTCAATGCATTCACCCCGCACACCACTGACTAACAAAAAGCGGCATCGACGAGATCTGGTTCGAAAAAAAGCGCGCCAGTTTTGTAGCTGGTGTGTGTTGTTCCTTCTCTGCATCTTGTTTCGAATCCGCATCAACGAAATGGACTCTGATGTGAGAGATGACTCAAGTCAGAACCCTGCTTTGGTTCCAAAATGTCGCCCCCAAACCATTGACCTGCAAGACCCTGCCAGGTTGCAACTGGGAGTCCGCTGGCCGAAGCCAGCGACTGAGCTTCCCTTACTTGGAGTTCCGGTCTTCATGGGTCCCGGTTTTCTTCGGTTGATATCATTCAGGGGATTTGTGTTCAACCTATTCTGAGGTCTGTCTTTTTTGAGGGTACCCTCTTTGGTTGGTTGGTTTTCAGGGAAAAGCCAAAGTACAACAACCATACTATGATATTATGTTGTGTTAACATATTTTTCTTGTTCTTCTTCTTTCTTTCTTTTTTTTTTGGGGGGGGGGGTTCCCCTACAAAAGACAGACATATGTTGTTGTTGTTTTTTTGGGGGGGGGCCCTACATAAGACAAACACTTTTTTTTTTGGGGGGGTTCCCCTACAAAAGACAGACCCAAAAACGGTGAACTCATTTTGGAGTCTGGTTGGATGGGTTCCACACACACGACTTCGGGTGCCCGGCTGGCAGTAGCTCCTTCCCAAATGGGGTGTTCATCACAGAAGACGGTGCCTGGGACGAAGGGTGAAACAAAGGGGTCTGTTGTATTGGGGGTGGGGCGTGAAAAAGGTTTAAAGGTTGGACCCTTCAACATGTGCAACATAAGGGTCTGTAAACTAATAATAATAATAATAATAATAATAATAATAATAATAATAATAATAATAATAATAATAATAATAATAATAATAATACACATATTATAAATAATAATAATAATAATACTAATAATAATAACAATAATAATAATAATAATAAATAATAAATAATAAATAAATAAATAATAATAATAATAATAGTAATAAACAGGTCTACTCAATTCAGTCATGATCAGCTTAACATCCGTGGCGTTGTGGTTTGGCGGTGGGTCAAACATAGCTAGGTCCTCCAGATTTGAGAGGTTAGATTAAGTTGGTACCGTTTCTTTTTTCACTGGTCTATTTTAGTAGGGGAATCCTCCCCCCAAAAAATGGTAAAAGGGCACTACTGGGGGACCTAGACAGGGTACCCCCAAAATGGGTTGGTCTGGATGGACGAAAACCTGCGGTCCAATTCCTAATTGGAGTTAGATTTTTGAACTGGTTGGATGGGAAAACATTCAACCTCCACCAAAAACCCAAGTCGGGTCACTGTAGGGAAATCAACCCATGCTTGAGGGGGAGGGGTTCATATGCGTGTGCCAACTTTTTAGGGTAACCCCCGTTTGGTTGGTTTTAAAGAGAAACCAAAAGGAACACCAAAATCCATTTTGGGAGTCCCAACAAAGACATACCCATTTGTCCCAAACCTTGGAACCCACTAGACAGAATGAATATGGCTGGTCAAGACGTACAAAATGTGTTTTTCCCTGGTGTCTTGGTTGCCCAGGGCTAAAAATTGTTGTCCCACTGGCGGCTTCATTTTGATGAGCCACATATCGCAGATTTGGGCTCCCGTTCTCGCGGCGCTTGCCAACGATTCCCAGGTTGGGCAACCCAACTTTTGCCGAATGCGAATCGAACAGAGCCTCAAAGAAGACCACAAAAGCGCCAAAGGAAAAAGGATTGGTGAGCTGACCTTTCTGAGAAATCGATGCCTTTTTTTTTCCGGAACTCATCTCAACCAGTGGAACCCATCTACTTCAACTAATAGGTGACCAAACAAAGGGGAAAGGATTGGTGCATAGTCAGCCTCCTTCCCACTGGTGCTGTAGAGCTGGGTGGTTTGCTGGTGAAACGGGGACCCCGTTTACAGTTAGTGGAGGCCTCTCCCGTCCGCATTTTGCCATCCGGTCATAGGGTCCCCCCCACACTTTTGGGCACATTCTGAATACGCCCACTAAAACAACCTATTTTCAACATTCAAATTCAATCACCCAACCAATCCAACTCCAAAAAACACATATTCACACACCCCTCTTCATTTCTTACCCCATCTCAACATCACCCTTACACTCATTCAATAACAACAATCATAACTACATACCACCTCAACAAATCCCACCAAAAAAATCCAAGCTACATACCAACATTTTTTCATTCCCAAGATCGCAACCCCAAGATCTCAATAATTTCTCCCTTGATCCAACCTGAGACCCTTTCCCATTTCCAACAAATACGAACAGTCTAAAAAAGAACCCTATGTTCGCCCCGAAAAATGGTTAACCAATGGAAAAGGGAGAATTAAAACCGTTAACCCAAATCTTGAAAACAATCCCAGTAAAATATGGATGGCAAAATGCGGATGGGAAAGGCCTATGTAGGAAAGCACCCCCACGGCTTATATGGGAAAATTAAACTATAATTATAACATATAAGATTTTACATGTTATTATTATAGTATGATTATAATTTCAGTACAGGATAATAATTTAATTGACAAATCTTTCTTCTTTCATACATCATTTTAAAAATAATATTAACATCTCTCACTGTATTCTGAACATTAAACTTTTTACTTTCAATAAATAATTTGATATTTTCTTTAACATCTTCTCCTTTATCTTGACTATAACACAACAACCATAATATATCATCCATCATTCCATATTTTTTCATACTAATTTTAAGAAACTGTTTAACATAATCATAAGGTGGTATTTTATTTACAGTTAGAAATATTAAAATATCATCTTC